AAAATCCCGAAAACAAACAAAAACCCGAAAACTTGCCCCCCTTTTAACTGGTGGCATGAAAAGAAAAAAGACCCCCCCCCCCCCCCGGTCTACCACATATTAATATGACAGCTGAAAGAATCCCCAAGACAGCTCTCTACCTCTTATGACAGAAGAAATAACCTCATAGTGTTGTCTACCAAGAATGAATAAGACCCCATTTCCATAGATTAGATCGACCTACTTTAGATCGACCTAACTCCCTGGGGGTTCACGCTAAATAGCTGTCAGCCGGGCGGACTCGAAAGTTAATTACCCCCTTACAGCTTGTAGTAGGCGGGACGGACATTTAAGCCAGATTATCTGACAGTAATCTAGTGAGACTCCCCGCGGGGATAGATCGATCTAAAAACTCTGGGAATACAGCCATAGTGTTGTCTACCAAGAATGAATAAGAAAGAAGAAAGAAACCCCCAAGAGAGTTCTTGAAGCAATGCAGCAACTGCATGACAAGGGGAAGAGTACTTTGAAACACACAGAATGCAGAAAATGTTTTAGATAATCTGTTATTTTTTATCTTAGACACAAGTAAATGATCTATTACCAAATAGTAAAAATTATGCTAGCATGACTCAACTGAAATACCATACTTGGCAAATAAAAAAACCCAACACTTATTTATAATAAATTTATAATATCTGTTATAAGTTATGTCTTTATATAAAAGTTATCACAATGAGAAAAATACAATTCAGTGAGTATCTACTGCAAAACTTCTAAAACATGTCAATCACAAGGAAATGTCCAACAGAAGAACGAACATCCAGTCTCTTGTGGTGAAAAAGCAATGGCGAGACAAAAGCATAACCCCCTGGGCACTGAAAAAACACCAACAGATGTGGTTTAATAAAACCAAAGTGTAAAATAAAAATGTAGGAACCTCCTGGGAGGACTGCATTAAGTCATTGTCCATAATATTTAGATTTCAAGTGTGATTATATTAATTCTTTGTGCAAGGTACCTTTTTTCATACAAAGACTGCAGCTAGAAAAAAGTCAAATGAGAGCCTCTTTAGATACAATGCCAGACATAAAACCACCATTGTAACTTTTAAGTTTCTCACTTTTTTTAGGACTACAGAGAAAAATACACAAATCTAAAAGATAAATATATTAGGAGAAATGCATTAAATCTTAATATTAAGATTTCTTTGGTGATTATGAATAGTTTTTAGCAAGCTTATTAGCCTGATATCCAGTTTGACCATCTGGTGCCACACCTGAATATAATTTTCTTAGATAAAAATCTAAATTTTAATATAAAACTATTAAATGTTTTATTTCCCCGTGATATTACTGAACCTCTTCACATCTCTCAACAAAAGAGCAATTTTTTTTTCATTTTTTTATTAGGGCTAAGTGTTGGATTGTCATACATGTCATTATTTTTCAATCACTTATTTACCTCACACGGTACCTAGTCACAGTTGACAGAAAAGCTTAGCTGCATCCAGCATCTATTCAGTCACTACTATATCGATAAATAATTCATATTGATATTTTGGTCAGTATATTAATTACTTAGAACCACAGAGAGCTTTCGCACAGCAAATTGAAAAATAACTACATACAATACATATTAGTCAGCCACTATAACATAAACCAATATTTTAATATTGAAGATTTGGTCGGCAATTAATTTAGTCACTGCTAAGCTTGGTCACTCAATCAATAGTATTACCCAAGTTTTGGTCAGTTAATATAATATTCGCCAGTCGTGTCTCATTCTTATGAATCATTATAGTTCTGCACTGCAAGACAAGTTTGTTGCAACTACTAAATGATGAAATATGACAAAGATGGCTTTTAATGAAAATCAATACTGATTAAAAGTGGCACTTTTCACTTCATTTTCATTCATTTTAATCATACAGAGGAATTAAAACTGTCATGGCGATAAAATATTCTCTTGCTAGTCTTTTTTATTTTATCTGTGTGTGTTGGGTGAAAGTTGTGAAAACTGAAAATCTTGAAAGCAAAGCTTGCAATTTCTAATCCCATCTAGCCCATATGGGGGAAAAAAAACATCAATATGAAAGCTGAAAATCCTGAAAATTTTCACCCATGATGTGCATGCACGTATGTGTGTATCACTAACATTAAACAGTATGCACCGTTTATCTATCATCATACTATGGCCTTATCAAGGAATTTTTAAGGGCAAAATTATGTCAAGGTCAGGAGTAAAGAGTAACAAATATGTGGTTGCTAAGGAAGAGTATTAACAAGGAACAAAAATAAATTGTAACTGAAAGGATTCACTGTAGGGGCCTTCTGTTTTACATCCAATACAAAATTCACAAAATCAGAAAAATAAGAATGCTTAAAGACAAAGCAGTCATTCAGATTTACATATTTCAAACCCTGCACTAATTAAAACCTACATATTTTTTCAAGAGCTGTCGTTTTTAGTTTCTCATTAAACAAAAAAGAACTTTTTTGCTTGGAACCCAGCATGTTCATCATAAATTTAATATAATCACTTCACATACAAAACTTACACTTGGGAAATCACCTTATCAATTTTGTTCAAATATGGTGAGTAACTACAAATACTGATATTTTGATACACTTGTAAAATATGAGTCATGCCACTGTTTTTGGACAAAAACATTTTTGCAATTACATAATAAATATTTCAAGGAAACTTATGTAAAATTTATAAATCAAATTTATTATCAGACAACAGCCCGGGCTTCAAAAACAAAAACATTTACCACAGAAAAAGCCTCCTAAGGTGAATTTTGAAATGATTTTTGAAACTAATGCTTCTTATTTCCAAATCTTCCCATGGGAAGGTAGCAGTAAGTTTCTAATTATCAGGTATATTTGTACAAACTTACTTAATCTAAACATAACACTATCAGCATCTTATCAAATATACGTGAACCTTATGTAGATTTTCCCTTCCCTTTCAGAAATTCTTGAGTTTGGTCTTCAAAACTTAGCAAGCTAACTACAGAAAGCCTAAATTGCAACAAAGGTCTATGTGCATTTTTAAAACAACTGACCAACAATAAATACACCAGAGACAATTGTCTCTTTTTAGCACCAACCTAAAGACAATTTACAATGCCAAAATGAGGCTTCTGTTTGGATTAACCCCCTCACATCCCACCACACATTCAACCATCCTTAATATGGACACCCAGGTATATTATGTCACCTGTCAGAGACGCATGTCTGCCTTGTGGTTAAACATGTCATTACATTGTAATGAGAATGACACCCCTGGCTCTTCCTGTCAGCAGGTTAAGGACCAGTTATGTGAATCTTTCACTGAAGAGTTAACAGTACTTTTAAAGTTAACATTATAGAGTTATTGGAGTTCATAGAATGGATTTAACATTGCAGAGGTAGAAGTGCATAGGTAATAGAGATAACAGTATAGAGTTAAGAGAAACAACAGCACAAAGTTATGATTAATGGAGTTAACAGAACAATGTTAACAGAAGAAGTCAACAGAATAGACTTAACATAGACAGTGGCAAAGAAAGCACATTCTAAGTTATTCGTAAGTCAATTTATTTGACAGCTAGTATCACACAACTTTTACTTCATACTATAGTGTATACGTACTTGTCACAAGTACACTATAGTACACAATATGGGCAGTATTATTCCAAGTTAAGTTTGTAACATACTACAGGTTTAAAAGGCACCATATGGAGTGTGCAGTACATGACAAAGTTGTAGTCTCAAATGTTGAGGTAATAACATAAAAACATTTAAATTAATAGAGCTACAAGTTGACCTTCCCTTTTTTTTTTCGACAGCTAAATATTTCAACTAATTGTTTTTTCCATATATTTTTTTCGAAACCTGTTATCATTATATTTATATGGACAAGCAAGCATTTTTTGTGTGTGTGGGGGGGGGGGGAGGGGACAAAAGCTATTACAAATACAGTCACTAACAAGGAACTAGTATTTAGCGACATCCAAAAAAGTTGCTGTTAATAATGTGTACTGTATAATGATACTAAATTATCACTATACAAAGCATAAAAATAGCGATAAACGTGCTGTCATATTTCAAAACAAACTGAAACGAACATACACAAGTAAGTTCTTAGCAGAAAATAAAAATACAGCTCGCCGGCAACAAACAAAAGTCAAAACACCGACTACCATTACCACTGCCACTGCCAAACAATGCTAAATCCCACAACTATCAATAAGGCTTGAGGAATAATTAGGGAAGAACTTACCATTTGCAGCACGCATATTGTGATCAGAAAACATCTCCCAGTGCAGCACTTCATCTTGATTTCTTGATACGTTTTAGAATAATAAGTACAACCAGTAGTAATGAATGATATGCTTCATGGTGACCCTACTCTCTGACTCAAATTTCGACCTAAGAACTCCTCACACCCATTAAAGCGCATCATAAACTAGCGCTCTAATTAGTCAATTGATACAGGTCAGAACATACGCATTACCCTTTTCTTCTACTTAAATGTGGTTGAAAGATATTACATTTTATAATAATGGTAAGCATGTTTCAAATCTCACGTTGTGTTTTAGAGTACAAATATTCAATAACGGAGACCTGTTAGCGGAGTAATCTAAACCGGAAATTAATCAGCTCCGTAAAGTGTCATTCGTGTTTTTCTGAATAATACATTATATCGATTTTATATGAGATCAGTACACATTAAACAGCACAAAATAATTCCAGTAACAGTCAAGTAGCACCAGTTATTCCCCAAAACGTGTAACATTGTACAACATATTTTAAAGTAGTGCGTTTAGTGCCGCTGCGTCTGCGCAGTAGGTCAGAGAAGAGCTTGACCTAATTTTCCTGCATGCAAGGTTGTCACGCACGCACTAATGCGGTAGCTGTCATGACGAGCGGTGGATTAAAACACATTCGCATGCAGTTTATGGTGATCCCTAAGCCAAAGCAGTAGCCGTGTAGTAGAGCGGACAAAATGGGCCTCAGAAAACGCGGGGGACAGGACAAAAAAGGTAATTTATCTTGTCGAGGAATTGTAAAAATATAAATTGAGTTTGAGCATTAAAGATAAACTTGTGCACTGTGAAGGTGTCGGTAGTGAAACAAACGAAGTTCGCAGTTCTTACCTGTATGGCATGAGGCTTCAGTTATGTGCCTTGAAAACAAATTCCTCCTGACGGTTATATTACTCTTATTAATGTATTTTCAATTGATGCGACCCAAAAGAGACAAATTAGCAAAGTACTATTAGCAAGTATAGGAGCAATAACCTTGGTTAGTAGACATGCACTAAGGTTTGATATATTCTTTAGTTGTCTCTATATTTAGAACTTTCTTTACTAGTGTAGGTAATGAAGCAATTATTGATTGCAAGACTGCAGTATATTGGTCTTGCACAGCAGGTAAAGCACTTGCAATCAGTACTTGATAATGTAGCATATTGTGGATACAGAGATTTGCTAGTTTCCTGAGAATAACCTGTTTCACTGCCAAGGAAGGACGGTTTCTTCAGTTTCACATCTCCACCCTTACATGCCCCACCCCTTGCGGTGTCTCAACTTTAGCGACATTTGAATGAAGTTTACGGTAACAATCAAACTGAATTACTCTTATAGTACTTTATAGAGACTAAGTAACATTTTTTCAGTCTCAAAGTAAAGAATAATCATGTTAATTTTTCAATAATCCAATGTAGAGATCGTAAAAAAATTCTTGCCATAGTTTACTGGCCTGTCTGTACTGTCAGAAATCAGAAATATATGACATGTATCCTCTGGAAGTGACTGTGTACGACAGTATGTCCTTCTAGTAACAAGTTCTACAGCTTTTAACAACCATGAAACACTGATTGGTGGACCAGATGACTGTTTGCCATTAACGTAGTAAACTTCCTTGTTGCAAATTGTTAAGAGTCTGTTAAGTTAAGTGTGTGGTTTGATTGTCAAAGAATTGCAGTGGCCTTGAAGTTCAGGATAGGAAAGGATTTAACAGTTAAGAGAAGACAGTATTCTCGTCTGACCAGTTGTTTACTCTCTGTTCACTTATTGTTTCACAAATTTTATTTTTCTTTTTTAACGGAACTATGTACTTTGTTCAAAATAATATAATTTTTTTTATGAATCACTGTTTTTTTTTTAAATTTTTGAATAATGTAGATATAGACAATTACCATTCTATGTAATTTGTTTGTTATTAAATAAATTGCCACTATCATTTCCTTGCTGTGGATACTTCTTAGTTGAAAACATTAGATACCACTACACCACTCAATTAAAAAGTTGTGTAATAAATGCCATGATTGTCATTGAATGGGATTCAAAATTTCAAAATGATTTGTCAAAGTTTTTAAACCAAACCAATTTTATCAAGTCCTGTCTGTTTTTTTCACTTGCTTACATTGTACTCCACTCATTTTTTTTTTTCTGTCAGTGGGATTTGTTTTGTCACCTGGTTTATGTGACAACATTAAAACCTGATTATCTAAAAAAACTGCTCTTTATAAAAATGTCTTCTGTGGTAAATTCATGGTGCAGTTTTCTTGAGGAAGGCTTTGCCCAACATCCCTCCATAAATAAGAGAAAGAAGACAATGATAAGAGTCTAGATGTCTGTCTCTTTCTTTTTGCCTCAGGTAATATATATATAATATGTATTCTAGCCGAAAGTAATCTTGATTTCTTAGATACCCCTTTAACCTTTAGGTAAGACTGACGGTCAAGCACGAAATAGACCAGTAAATAATTTTCCCCATTATGTGACCATTCCCACAGATATTTGGATCGATCTATCTTCCTGGGGAGTCTCACTTAATTGCTATCAAACTAATGTCTGTCACGCCTAGTAAAACTGTTAAGGGGTAATTATCTTTACCTCTAGCTGATTCAGTAGGCATGACAGACATTTAAGCCTCTTAAGCTGATAGCAATTTAGCGTGAACCTCCAGGGAGTTAGGTTGATCCATCTGGATCGACCTAAATATGGGAACCCAGTCTTAGACAACTAATACCAATGGTAGATCCACCCCTCTTTCCTTTTGCCCTAAATCACATATAAGTAGGCCATAAATTACAAATACCACATATAAGTTGTCAGTGCATGTTGTGTCACTGAGTAACTTGGCATATACTGGCTGTTTGCCTTATCGCACATGCCAACTAGCCAATGTTATTAAAATGCTAGTACACATGTCTTCTCTGGCAAGCACCTCGAAAGACTAACACACCTTGTTTTCTTGTTGCTGTCATTAGTGGTAAATTGCTCTGAGAAAAAGTACCACTGCACTTTGATGATCTTAAACAGTCATGTTACTGTATTTGATAAAGGTGGCTGCTCAGTTTTCAGAACAGTTGAGAAGTTCAATCTAATGTTTGGATATTTTTTTATTTATATCAGACCCGTAGCCAGGAGGGGGTCAAAATAATCTCCCTTTTGCCGGGAAAAAGTCCCCTCTGTTTAAAATTTAATCTAGGTACATGAGGGTTTCATGGTAAAAAGTCCACTTTTTCAGAAAAAGAATCACCCTTTTAAAATTGCTGGTTACGGGCCTGTATATAGCACGGCAGGAAACACTTATATTCAAGTTGAGCAAAGTGAGTGGATTTAATTGGACATTTTGAAATTTATGATACTAACTTCATGAGGTGCATAATATATATCACTGTTTTTATGAGTAATAAAATAATTTTAGTTGCCTGTTGTTTTTCCTTAATTTTATAGGTACGGTAATGGCTCAAGCATTTCAACTAAGAAAAATTATCAATTTTTCAGATATAATTTTGGATTCATTAAAAATACAGTTTTGAGCAGAGAAGATGACATTAAGGATATGCTTACTTCAAAAACGCTTAAGTTGTCTTACATACGCCCCTTAAGAGGACAAAAGAATTGTGTGAAAATTCGTAAGCTAAGGGACAATGCCGACTTACGTATATTTTACGGACATCTTACGTACATCTTACACACATGCAGCAATGAATAAGAAAGGGTGGGCTTATGCAAATAGGGTGACGGCGGGGTGTTTCTCACCTTACGGCAACACAACCATGTTTGAAAAGAGGCGTGATATATGAGCCCGCTTCATTGCGGGCTATTAAATCGTCCTCTGTTACGCTCCGATGCGACCCAAACATGACTTTGCCCTGGTTAGAATGGGACGTTTAAGAGTAATTTACATTGATTTATTGATTTCTTGTAAAAAATCAATCCCAACAGAGACTACTAGGATGCCCAGTCAATCCTTACCCTCGCCAGCAGTTATGCACATGATTCTTTTAAAAGGTGTAAGGCATTTTTTTCAAACAACTTGTTTCTTTAGCTCTGCCGACTTTAAAATGGCCAAAAAAGAATAAAATAAATAAAACTGAAACCAAAATTAATTTTTGTTTTTTTTCACCGACGTCCGACTGATCTTTTTCACGGTACTCTCACGTCACATGACTGCCTACAAGTTGTAAACGAAGGCCATTTGTGCCGAGGTAAACCCTTGGTTCATTTCCTGTAGCTTCCGGTTTTTAAGCCAATCAGTACTTCATTGATATTTTACACTACACGTTCGACTACATGTGTCAAATTAATGCAAATTGGCGGGAAAGTGAGCTGGAGTAGCCGTCTTGATTTAAGCAGGAATTTGACCACTGTTGTGTGGCTCAGTTTGTAGTGAAGAAAGGACCAAAATTATTATGCAAAATGGTCTGCCCGGCCAGTGTTACAGATATTTTAGGCAATTTTATTGACTACTTTCTGTTGGAAATGAACATATTAGTTGCAACACTTGCGTCACGTGTGGAGTGTTTAAACAGGGAACCAGCAGCGTAAAGAGCACAAAGCATGTTTTTTTATTATTATTTTGTAATTTACAAGAATGATTCGTAAAATTGACATTAATTTAGAAAAATAAAACATTGAAAAGAAATTGCTGTTTTTGTCCAGAAATTGCTTTACTGTGTTTTAGTTTTGTCTAATGTATTGTTGAAAGTGAGTTACCAAAAAGTATTTTTCACTTTTCACCCCCTCCGACCTCTGTCAAAAATAAAAATCTTATGTAATGAACATCAAACTTACAGATCACATCAACAATATAACAGTGTAAATCTTAACGGAACCTTCTTTCTGTAATGTTTGAGTTAGTTGGTGGTGGGCAGAGTCTTATTTTTCAATGATGATAATAATAATTGTAGAAGTAGGGCTACACGAAGTCGCACAAAAGCACATTCCTTAATTCTGTGATCTATTCTAGGGTGTAGGTTTTCGTATATTTTTTAACTGTACCAACTTACCAACTTTGGACAACTGGCGAGCAGACATCTCCGTGCTTTAGATTTCCTCTAGGGATGATAATTTCACTGTTGTCAGGTGCTGGTCTCGTATCGGCAGTTGCCGCAAGGAGCGTGTTGGAATCAAACTTGGCACATCTTGAAAGTTTAAGTCGGACAAAAGATTTTCAGGTGACACTTTTAATCAGAGCTGCCATGTAAGCTAACAGTTTAATCACTGCAACGTACAGGTAAATTGAGAGTTGCGATAACGTCACCTTCTTCCTTTCTCTCAATCAACATATTTCTTGAGACTGCCTTTATTTTCGTTCACTGTTCAACAAGGATAATTATCAAACGAAGAACATTGTATGGAGAAGGGATTTTTATTCATTATTTTATTCATGAAACAACAAGCAAACTGCTCGTTTCAGCAGAAGGATGGGAATATAAAACCATTAATTTAAAATAAAGTTCTTAGAAAACTGCTTGCTGAAAGCATTCCATCAAGATACACGTGAACTAAATCTGGATTGAATTAGTTGTATGAATAATGTCATAAAAGAATATTTGCTATATGAATATATGCCAGACATTTCACTCATTGCGATAGATAGAATATTCTGATATAAATTCGGAAAAAAACAGAAGGTACTGGTGACAGCCCGTATCGGTAATGTATAATTTGACAGAGCAAGCTTTCATGCACCAAACCAAGCAAATTTCAAAAAACAATTTTTGTAACATATTTATTGGTAATGGTAGCCGGTCACATTCCTTGAAAACATTATATAACCATGCTGGCAGAGCCTAATAGAAAAGTGCAATAAAAACAGATTTGCTACGTCAGCAACTAGATGTAGTTATCGATGAAGGTTACTTCTGACAAATGAATTGCGGTAAAAAATGATAAAAATTTTCACCACAATCAAAATAAGCCGTAAAGCCAAAATGTCACATAAGATGACAAAATTACAAGTAAGACGTGGCACTTCTTTGACATTTTTTAAAATTCCTTAAAAGTCGAACAAAGATTTTGGTGACACATTTAATCAGAGCTTACCTGCCACGTAAGTTAGATTAATAACTCCAAAGTACAGGTAGATTGGGATTTTCGATAAGATCATCCTCTCATTTCTCCATCTCCGCAATTCTTTGGAGCGTCCGATAAGATCTAAAGGGACCCGGGCACGTGGATTACACGCAATTACCATGATCGTTGATTATCTTCCTTAAATGCTTGCTTAATTAATCGGAGCTTAGCTCCGAACATACTTTTTGTCGACTCCATGTTCTTAGAAAATCCTTTTAAAAACCCTTTCTACAAGCATTTAATTTGACGTACGAGTCAATGGATATTATCGTCGCCGTCTTAATCTCCAATTGAATACTCCACGCCGCTTTATAATTAAAAGTAAGAAAAAAAAAGTGTTTGGATAGATTACCCGGCCCTTGTTGTTCTTCGTGATCGAAAATGATGTTAAAAGGTTAAAAGGTTAGGGCAAAGTCAGGCTAAACTGCAATCAATTATATGTTCAAAATTTATAAAAGTGTGAGCATTTCAATGTAATAATTTGAGATGAAATTGATGACTCAAGGAAAAATGTAAAATAACGATTTTGATCTCGATTCATAGCTGCTCTACAAGCCAATTCATTTCTTTTTCTCAGATAGCTTCCACATGGCAAACGGAGCGGAGATTTAATTACTGTACCCCGCAGGGACGACGTGTGAGAGGCAGAGAGACTATTAAAAGATTAGGCAGTTTTTCTTTCATGTACGTCCTCCATTTTTAGTTCTCAGGATTTGTAAAGCCTGGCTCAATTCGTTGAGAATGCGGTCTTATACTGGTTTGCCAAAAGCCACGATCCTAACCAAATTTTTTTTTGAATTTTTGAATTTCTGGCTGAGGAGTTATCATTGACTACATTGACTTTAATGAATGTCTTATTTTTCAGAGAATGAAAAACACAATGAAAATGGGACCAGTAGACCTACGAAGAAGAAAACAGACAAGACAGCAACAACAACAGTTTTTAAATTGTTACTGTTAGTAACAATAGCAGTAGCAGCAGTTCTGTCATACTGTTACATTAACAATGTTGCTGGCTTGAAAGAAATTGTCGGTAAGGATGTTGTCCATATCTTTTATCTCCTAAATTTAAAGGTTGGTGATGATCATTGTCTGAACTCGATTATAAAATTTGTTTTAATTAGTAAAATGTAGTGTCACGATTATGAAAACCGTTGCTTTTTGTGGCGAAAAGATCTACTAGTTCAAAATTTTTTCTATCCTTTAAGATTCAAAACTCAATTTGGAAACAGAAAAACAAAAGGAAGAAAACATCCAAACACCACAGACTCAGAAAGCTAAAACAACTTCTAAAAAGAAAGATGGAGCCACCAATACTAAGAAAAAGAAAGACACATCATCTTCGACCAAAAAGAAGAAAGATCCCAAGGATGCAATTACCAATAAAATGGATGCTGCCATTCGTGGGGCTCTAGATNGGGGGGGGGGGGTTGATAGACTGTTGGTAGACTGGGTTCCCATACCTAGATTGATCTAACAGGATCAATCCATCTCCAAGGGGCTTCTTGCTAAAATGCTTTCAGCTGAAGTGGCTAAGATGTCTGACATGCCTACTGAAGCTGCTAAATGATAATTAATTACACCCTAGCAGCTTCAGACGTAACAGACATCTAAGCGGCTTAAGTTGATTGTAATTTAGAGAAAATCCCCTTGAAGATAGGTTGATCCACAGTTGGTATGATAGGGTCTGGTAATGGTCCCTTAGGGTCAGTATAAGAATTCCCTGCGAAGTGTGATGAAATTCTTTCTAATCATCTAAACCTGTAATGATATTTATTATTATTATTATTATTATTATTATTATTATTATTATTATTATTATTATTATTATTATTTAAGGGCCAGTATAAAGATGCTCTGTCCAAGTATGAAGATATTCTAGCTAAGCAACCAAACAGTCCTAGAGGAAATTACGGCAAAGGTCAAGCACTGGACAAACTAGCTGACCAGCAGAAGAGTAATGCAGTGTTGGAGCAAGCCATTGGGCAGTACCTGAAGGTAGGATGTGGCCATTATTATTATTATTATTATTATTATTATTATTATTATTATTATTATTATTAGATTGGTTATTATGTACAGACACAGATGTGTCTGTACATATTGCCATCACCTGCGTCTGTCGTCGCCGATGCCGATGCCGATGCCGTCGCCGATGCCGTGCACTTTCCTTGTAATTTAATTATTAAGTTTAACATTTTACCCCCGAAAAATTGAGAAATGCCTAGCACTGACATGGCTTTGTTTTTTTGTTGTAGTCTAAGCATTCAGGTATTCTAGAACCACACTCAGATTATAAACCACACAACATACAAATTACTTTTAAAAAGTCAAGTATTGGTTTTGTAATGGAGTCTGACATTGAGTAATGTGGTTAATTCAGGTTATTATTAATCCATGGAGACTCTTTAAAACTTGTGATTTTTCATGAACCAATTTAAAGCTTTTGTGAATTATAATATTTGGATTATACATGTAACTTCCGTCTTACTAGAAATACAAATTTATAAGAACATTTTAGTTCATAATAGTAAATACCTGCGTAACAGGTGCTAACATTTTAAGAATAAAAAAAAGTTTTAAGTTAAATGAAAAAAAAAAAACTTCAGGCTGTTTTGTGATATTGTTTACTTTGTTGTCATGGTTACAGGTCCTGGATCTTCCAGATGTCCCAGATGACATTGTAATGATGGCAGGAAAGCGATGTGCCGATCGTCAAAAGTTTAGAGGTACTTGAAGAAAGTATGGAGTAATCTAGTTTACTATTTATTAAGAAGCATTATACTTTTTTGTTTTATCTGGGGCACCTGCACTTGATTTATATTTGAAATGTTACAATTTAGATCTATTAGTTAAACTTTTGATATGTAATCAAACTTTTAAAGTAATTTTGGCTGATATTATAATGGAACAACTAGAATGATGAAAATAAAAAGAGAATGAATATTTTATGACTAATTGCATAGCAAATTTGTGGCACATTTCATATTATTAAAACAAGTGAATAATGGAGGAAATAATATTTCAATTCAGGTTGGCCGGGTAAGTCTGCCCAAACAATGAATACACTCATCAGCAGATTTCCAGACAACGCTGAGCTGAGAAACGAGATGGGGGTGGCGCTACTTTTGCAGGGAAGAAACAATCAAGCCAAGACAGTCTTTGAAGAAGTAAGAACAGCACAACAATAGCCCTCTAATATTTAACAATTTTTTTTTATTAAACATATATAAACACAATACAGAAGACAAACATACAAGAACATGAAATACATCACAGAATCAGAAAACACATTTCAGTACAAATACAAAACGATACACTACATCAGTACAGTTTTATAACTTAATACAATACATACACTTTTATGGGTGCACAGTCACTGAAATATTATTTTAATATTGTAGAACGTACAATACAATATACAACATTCTACAGTACATTACAGAGTACATTACAAACTGAACAATACGTGAACAAAGCAAGATGAATATTTAACAAACTTGATATATTGCATTTCCCACAGTGAGTATTTGTCAAAAAGACCTAGCATAAAAATGTTAAAATTTAGTTCCAAGAAGTTGGTGTATCGTGTTGCTGTTTTAGTGCATGTGTGAGAGTGTGTGTTTGTGTTAATTGAGATATACATATCTAATAGGAAATATTTATAAACAAGAAAATAGTTCCTTAAAGCTTGTAATATGCTTGGAAGTTATTTTTCTTGGCCCTGACGTAGGTGTAAGGAAAAAAATGTTCAGAATAATTCAAAACCAGCATGACTTCAAGTAAGTTATCAAAATCACAACATTTGTATGCCCTTCTTGCTGTACACAAATTTCTAAAATTTGAACAAAATTATTCAATAATGTTACAAAAAACAAACAAAAAAAAAACAGCCTTTTGTTTTCAATTGTCTGAAAACTTAATTGGAAATGTCTGAATTGTAAATAGGTTTCAAGTCAGACAATGTTTTGAGAGTGTCTGACAGTAAATAAAAAATGAAGTTTGAAATTTATGAACAATTACGGTAGACGAGGAAAAAGTTGGGATCATCACGTAGAAGCTTCCAAGAAAACCACCCTCCTGTGGATCTACAGCGTTGTTAAATAATCATAAACACATTGCTTGGCATGCTTTCTTGGCAGCTGTTTCAGTTTATGTTGTATATATGTTGTCTTGGCTTCTGATTCTGTTAAATATATTATATGTGTAAAAAAACAAAGAATTATGACTGTTCAGTGTGTTGGTGTTGATGCAAAGTAAGTAGGATAGTTGCAAGATAAGACAAAGGGCATATTCCCAGACATTTAGTTCGATCTATCTCTGTGGGGAGTCTCACTAGATTACTGTCAGATAATCTGGCTTAAATGTCCGTCCCGCCTACTACAAGCTGTAATTAACTTTCGTGCCTGCTCAGCTGACAGCTATTTAGCGTGAACCCCCAGGGAGTTAGGTCGATATAGTTTGGATCGATCTAATCTCTGGGAATGGGGTCAAAGGTGTGTTCAAAACCACCTTCACAAAAACCAGTGCCAGGTAGAAATTTAAGAAGTAAAGGCACTTGATTCCCCCCACTCCCCACCCCCTTTCCACAAACTCACACACATTGTCCATTTTTCCAAAACTAAGTAGACAGCACAATCATGTTACTGTAGCTGCATAAAATTGTCCAAATTCTTCCACAGATCAAGGGAAAGTAAATGTACAGGGACAGAAAACAATGTAGAATCACTCCACCCGGTGTAACCCATCAGTGTTGTTACACTGTCATATTATGGTGAAGTATCCTTTGCCAAAAGAGGGCAGAAAAGATCAAGACAGGCCAAAGGAAGGAATTTTATGGTCATAAGCTTCAGGCCATGTAGCTGGGGGCTAGACTGATTTTACGAGGGATTAAATCGACGAATGTGATTCATAATAATGTCAACAAAGCTGATCGACTCCCATCGTTTATGATTGTGACTAGGCGTTAATGAGAGAGAATAGGAGGGGTTAAACACCACTGCAGGCATTTTGGATCATACAGGTCGTATTGTGATAATACAGCTATAAAATGATTCTCGAAAAAAAAAGTAAATAGAAAAAAAAAAAAAGGAATGACTGTTTGTATGTAATCTGTTACAAATGTAGGTTAATGTTTTACTGAACTACTCATACTGATGTGATTCATTTCCTCCTTTTGCAGAATTTGTGTTCCCTTCATTTAATATGTATTAAAGAGTTTTAGAAAGCTGACAGACTTTGTATAACATCAAAAACTGGGGAAATTCAGAAGTGAAGGATGTAGGTTTTTCCCCATTTTGAACGCTCAGTTTTCTTACGATAATCCTCAGCTTGTCCGAATGGGTGAAATTGGAGGAGTGACCCTGGTCAGCATTTCAGTCAGGAGTGGTCAAAGCTGTGGGCTCATTCACAATAAAAATAATGTTCTAGGTAGATCAGTCCAGCTCTGCAGGTACTTTCTCGTTTCCAAAATACTAGGAAAATCATAAGCTTTTCTGTATTCTACTCAATGCCAAGAGAAGGTAATCTGGTAATCTGATTGCATTCAGCAAGAGCGCCTACAGAGTTGGATCGATCTACATTAAAGATAGTTTTATTGGGAATGAGCTCTATGTCAGTAGCCTCCTGCTTGATTCACAATCATGTCACTGTATACCATATCTTGATGACAGCAATCATTGCTAAAAACTTTATAGACTTATAAGACTATTTACCTTTTCATCAATCAGGGTCTTAAAGTTGGGCAAACTTTTTATTTTTTAAACTTTTTTTGGGGGGGGAGTCTCGTGCCTCTTTGGATGGGCAGTTACCCTAGGCTAATGCCTAAAGGTGCAGACTGACTCAATAAATCAAATACAAAGATTGCACAAAATAGACTACATATGTAAAAGCATGAGATCAGTTTGATACTTAACTCTGGGATTTATCTAAGAAAGCTAACATGGTTAAAAACCCTACATTGCACTGTTCACAGCTGTAGATTAGGTAATTTTGTAGATGGACAGTGTTTCACATTAAGTTTCATTGTCAAATCCTGTCAGTGTGCTGTTGCCCAGTCATGCAGCTTTTTATTCATATATTTTCTAATTTTTAGGTTCTACAACGAGACCCCAACAATGCCTATGCACTAGTGCATCTAGGTTTCATCCTCAAGACCAGTTATAACGAGTACGAGAAGGCCGTGGAGTTACTGCAGTCAGGGTTGGAAAAGAATGACCCATCAACTGACCATGGGAGATTTTACTTCCAACTGGGAGACGCTTTGCAACGATTAAACAGAACAGAAGAGGTAAGAATTTCAAGTCATATATCACTAAATTTGAACAGAATTGATCAGATGAACCAGCTGCTCTTTAGTATGTGTATGTGTGTGAGTGTGTGTGCATGTGAGTGAGTGTGTATGCGCATGCCTGTGTGTGTTTATTCCTGTGTGTGTGTGTGTGTGTGTGTGTGTGTGTGTGTGTGTGTGTGTGTGTGTGTGTGCTACATTTAAGTTCATATATCATCAGTGTCACCTAGAAAAAAATAAACTTATCGGTTTGTATGGTGTATCAAGTAACTGTAGTGTCCATTAAGCTTTAGAAGTATTTAAGTTTAGAGTTCATTCGAGAGAATGGCATAGTTGTTGTTGTTGTTGTTTTTCTTCTTTTTTCCTTTTCTTCCTCTTTTTATTGTAATTATGAGAAGTCTCACTTCGTCTAACTGCTCTGCGTGATTCAGGCTTACAAGATCTATGAGGAAGGCACAAGGAGGGGTCACTTCAAGTCCAAGTACCAGCGGTCACTGTACAATGTGAACTCACTGACCAGCAGACCATGGTGGACACCAGAGGAGACAACTTACAAGAAACATTTAAAGGTACATAGGGACGCATGTGCCATTACGCGCGTGCGCACACACACACACACACACTTTTCTAGATTTGCAATGTCTGTCATTGGCTAAATATTATTACTATCATCATTATTAATATTATTGTTAATAATATAATTTTTATAAATTTTTTAGTTATTATTTCTGTTACACTAAAAGTTGACTCCTCTAAAGGACTTGAACTTTGATGGGTCACCTGAAAAACATGAAAATTGTATTGCCACTCTGGCATCACAGGTGGATCTTGCTCTCCCAATTTCAATCATAAATTTACAAAACCAATCAAATAATACCTAATTTTAATGCCTACTATAAATGCCATTATGAGGTTCGTATGTGATTTAAATTATTTTTGTTTTCTGAATTATTTTGTGCAACAATTCTTTTAATCCCACCAGTTGCTGGAAGATAATTGGAAGACAATCCGAGACGAGGGTTTGGCAAACATGGACGTCAAGAAGGGTCTCTTTGAGGCTGAAGATGAAAATTTAAGTGATACAGGAGACTGGAAACAGTTTACACTGTACAGCCAAGGTAACTTCAAGGGAGTTGTGTTGAGGCATTTTCCAATTCCCCTCAATTATCCTCTCTTTGAAATTTTCAGAATGATATTCCTTTCTATGCTGTTTTGTAAATCAAGAACATAGTTTGTAGATTTGGATAGGCAGTATTAATAGATGTTTGCCCCCCCGCCCCCACTCTTCTCCCACCCCCTCTGTTGATGTGGTAAATGTTACATGAAACATGGCAACTGTATTAATTAGAAGGAAACTTGCTGAAAGTAATTAACTTTGAAGTTGTATACCAATATTGGTCCTGCTCTATTTCTAAGTCACAAGGAAGTTAAAAGATGGAATGTATTTATTAAGTGAAAAAGTATTATTTTATCAGCAATTTTTCTTTTTGTCTTTTTACTTCAGGTAGAAGAAGAGATGAAAATTGCAAAAAGGCTCCAAAGACATGTGCCCTCGTGGATAAAATTATAGATGCCAAAACATGCAAGAGGGGGCAGGTAAAGCAGAATGGGTTTATTAATATTATAACCAATTTTGTGTACGATGAAAATATTTATCAAGACACCGTTAGGGCTAATAACATTCAATTTCAAATTTTGCTTGTTTTATCCTAAAAGTGAACAAGGTGGAACTTGATTTTGCCTTTATAGTTATACAGTTTTGATATTTTTATATGCTTGTTACATTTAGTCTGAGTTGTAATAGAAAGAAACAGGTGTTGATGGAGCCTTGTTCCCTGGAAAAGAGGACTTGAAAGACACAAGTGTATCAGAAAACAATAAATCCTTTCTTAAATCCTAATTAAGGAAATGTCAAGAACTAATTAATTTTCATAATTTTATTTGTTCTGATTACTGAACTATTACTGAATAAGCACAATTAATCTTTGATAAAAAGGGGCTTTTTTGGTTTATATTTCAGATCAAATATTCCGTGATGCAGCCTGGTGTCCATGTTTGGCCTCATTGTGGGCCCACAAACTGCCGAATTCGAGCTCATCTGGGGTTAGTGGTGCCAGAGGGGCCCAGGATCAGAGTGCAGGAGGAAATAAGGTAAGTGTCCACTCTGGTGGACAATGTCCAGGTATTGGTCACTGGGGGTTGGTCTCACAAATTAAGATAATTTGAGGATGAAAGTTGGTCCTTAACTTAAGACAAAGGGTTTTTGTCTGCCTCAGTTAAGAGTAAATGATTTACATTTAAATAATATTTTTTGAGTTTGAGTCTGAGTGCTGCTTACATAAAACTAGAAATCAAAAAATCACTCCCCCCCCCCCCCCCACACACACACACATAGATACACAGATGCATGCACAAGGTGTTTGTCTTTCATTATTTAGTCAAGCATGACACTGTTTTTTCATTATCAGATTCAGCAGAGAGAATGAAAGTGCAAGCTCTTTTAGGATTTTGATGAAAAATCAACTCATGATTCCAATTACTTTTTGCAGGCACTGGAAGGAAGGAAAGTTCATCATTTTTGATGACTCATTCGAGCATGAAGTTTGGCATGATGGCGACTCATTCCGTCTGGTATTAATTGTGGATTTTTGGCACCCTGAACTTACAGCGGAACAGAGGCGGACTTTGACCCCAATTTAAGTTTTTTGCGTTAACAATGACTGGCATATTACCTTTTGTCATTAGTTAAGGTTCATTCAAAATGATAGTTTAAAAAAAATTATGGTCTATTAGTTCCGATCATTTGCTTTTATAGAATAAATGAAAAAAATTTCACCATGATAATTATGGTGATTTTGGTGTGTAGCACCTGTGATTTTGAAACTACAATAAGACTTCACATAACTTCAACACTTTCGTTGAAGTTGGGCAATTTTGAAATTAGTTTCAGCTAATATCAAAGAAATAGTCACTTTTCAATTAAAATTTACATGAAATGGTTAAGAAGATTTTATTTATTAGGTTAGGAGTTATGCAGGTTTTACTATTATTTGAAAATCACAAAATTTAATTATCAGCATTGTCATTAGGCTAGGTCATAAAGGATCTTACTTTTTATTTAGCAAAAACAAATATTGACATATGACTTGATTTCTGTCACATACTTGCCTTTATGCCCATGCATGATGGCTCAAGTATACCAAATCTATTTAAATCTCGTGAAAACATTCCAAATTGGTATATTTAAGATACTTTGCTAGTCGAGTCTATTACAGAATTATGAATATTGAGCCTTGATATATCTAATCCACAAAGACTTTCTTGGACAACTAATCCTACTCATCAATCAACAGATTAGGGATTGGAATAGCCATTCTTTATTTTAGCTGCTGCAGTTATTCAGATATTTAGATATGTATATTTATTTCATTAAAAATGATATTACTGCAACACTTTTATAGCTCCAACTTTTATATTACCCGTTTTAAGGAGTCAAACAGAGACATCGAAGGGAGTAATGCCGTTTAGAAAATTTTGGACATAAAAAGCTTACAAGCAAAGGATGAAAGCAGCAATATTAATATAATCACTGCATAATATGATGTCTTACTCTCACATTTAACACTGTGCAAATAATTCTTAACCTGGTGCTTGCACAGAAAAATATTTGATGTATGTAAGTGAAATAGATTGAATTTTCCCAACCCTGAATTTTGTGGGTTACCTGAAAAGGCTGCAGTATGCTGAGAGTGAAGGTCAGTCTTTAGTGAACTTTGGGCTAATTAAAAAGAATTAGCATGAAGTCTGTGCTGAGCTAGTTTTCCATTGTTACAGTAGGAAAGTATGCGTCAGAGGACATCAATAAATGTCAATCAGTTTTTAAGCTGCAGAAAAGCATTAATCGCATTATAGTCCTTTTCTAGCACCAAATATATATATATATATTAGTAATTGTTAAGAATTTAGGCTCTTATTGGGAAGGGTGGCTCAGGGGATTGTGTGTGAACCTGCTCGTCTTGGCATGAGACTTAGATTGTTCAGCATTATGTGAGACTAGTTGAAAAGTCAAGTGAATGAATCAAAAATTTGATAAATGAATTAATCAAGTATTGTTAGAAAAATTTTAAATAATATAATGCATTGTAAGACTGGTGATAAATTTCAATCTGCTTAAGATTTTGTATGTATGATTTATATTGTTGTGTGTGATTTGTAGGTAAAATATTCAAGACCCAGATCAATGTGGTAGTTTGATATATAGTGGCAGGACCAAAGTGTATAACTTATTGCATAAACTTACTGTTTTTGCTGACAATCAAAAAGAAAAAAATCAGCTTTCTTTTCTATCAGTTGTATTATTTACTTGTCTTATTTTCTACCAGTTGTATAATTTCCTTTTCAAATTAGTTAAGACATGACAATTTCTGGTGACAATCAACCTCATTGTCCAAATATGGGTTTAAGTTCATTCTGATGTAAATTAGCCTTTTACAGTGCATAATGATTCTTTTGGGGCCAATTATTCCTGGTAATGGTTCAGTCTCTTAAATGTGGAAAATTCTCATTCTTTCAGATACATCATTCACAAATGATAAAAGTTATATTTCTATATAAGATAAGCATTTATGGTCCTTTTACTGTATTGACTATTAGTAATCCCACTTGTCAGTTTTGTTGGTACCACTCTATAGGAATATTAAAAACGTTAAAAAATACAATGATCTGATAAATTCACAATTTTCCCCATTGAAAAGATTGAGTCACTACTGTGTTTTGGTGATGCTAAAGATGACTCTGTACATATATCAAGGGTTTCAAAATTTCCAAGTTTGACGGGTATCCAAATTGGACCCGTTAGTCTGTAGGGTAAATTTTTGTTACCAGGTTTATGTTGAAACTGATATAAATTGGTCTTATAAAGAAGGGAATATTTCTTTGGGGCCCATTTGGTGTATTGTGTTGGAACATTTTGTCAGTTATCAGTTGCCCCCCAGATAATCATTACTTGGGTTTTTTATTATTATTTTTTCGGTACTTAGGAAGTATCTTCTGCAGATACTTAAAATGGAATATTTTGGGTAATACAGTATTATGCGTTTAAAAGGTTTAATTTTTGTGAAAGTTATCATATTTAAGTGTTATGAGCAACCCCATCGTATGGAGTACAGAATAATGAAAGAAGTGTCCACAAAATTGTTATACTATGTCATACACTTAAACACATAATATGCACAAAGACCTTGTTTCAAAATGGTCAGATATTTTTTTCTTATGGCATATATCATATTTGTTATATTATATTAGGCATATGCTGCAATTGTTACATATTGTATGTATAATTCTATGTGTTGTGTTTAAATGAGTATTGTAAGATGCAAGATAATGTAAAGCACTGTTATTATAACAGAATAAAATACTCTTTCTGGTATATTGATTTGGTATATTTTACAATATAAAACTCTCATCTCAAAGAGATTTGTACATAATTCTTTATACATTTTTCATCTTATAAGTAATTGCTGAAATCTGTTTTACAATGCAGGCTTTTGCATTGTCTCTTTTTACAAGTTCACAAAATGGTAATATCTTAAAACTGCAAAACTTTGACATGGAGCAAAAACCCTCTTTCCTCCAGGTAGGTCAAGATGCTTGATCATAAACAAAAAATTTAAAAATGAGTACGATTTTGATTTTCCTTGACTTAACCATTCTGTGTTAACTCTGTAGTTTTACATTTGTCAGTTAACCAGTCTGTAACTTTAACGCTGGCCCTAAGACAAATTTCAGAATAACTGAAGCCATCCAGTAAAATTCTGACCATTTCTGTACACATTCCGAAGTCATTTTTGTTGCAGGTTCTAAAGCCTCCTTTCCCATAAAAACAATTCAGAGCATCTACCATGGTAGCTATTCTACAGTGAACTTCAATTGTTCACCATAATATCTATCTTAGACAAATGTCTCCACTGCCCAATTTTCAGTTATTTTCACTGACTCAACTCCATATCGCCCATGGCCATGTCCCTTCCTTGCCTTCCTTCATGATGGCAAATATCATTCAATTTCTCCCAGGTATATATTTTTATCACTTGAACATGATAGCACTGAAAAGAAGAAAAAAAGAATTCAAAACAATGAAAAAAACAATGAAACCACAGGCAAAAAAGTTCTTTAAACTTGATGAAAAAATCAGTATTTCTGGTAATTATTTCTAAAAAGATTGCTTACAAGACTCACTGCTTAAAACAGAAAAGTAGAACAAAGTAAGGGCCATGTAGCATGACAACATTGGTAAAAAAAACAAATAACGACAAATCTTAATTTAATTTATAGAGAAAGTCATTTAGTATATAAATCTGTAAAAAAAAAAAAAAAAAAAAAAAGGTGGGAGCATTTATATTAACCTTGATCTAGTGGGCAACAATAGTGATATGACCTTGACCTACCTATGGGTTCTGTAGGATGAAAGTCCACCTCATTGACGGAGCCTGCGTGACCTGGAAGTTTGTACAATATTCGCCGCGTTGTCGTGTCCCACACATAGACAAACCTGCAAACGACGATCAAATGTTAGTTCACAAATATTATTGGACTTCCAGTTGAGAATATCAACACACATTAAAATTCTTTGAATCATTAACCAGCAAAAGTCTTTGTAAGAAGAATGCAGATTCATGTAAGTGACATGAATCATTAACTGACAGACATTGTAGGTCAATGAACATTCAAGACAAAACAAAACAAAAATTTGAGATAATATTTATATGTATTTTTTTTTTAATCGGTAACTAGTTGAAGAACCTGTGAGGAGACATTGAAGATAGCAAAAGAGATTTAAAGAGAGAGAGAGAGAAAATATGTTATATAGAACAAATATATTGAACAACTACACAATGCCAGTGGATATAAATTAGTACTGTAAGTGCCTCTCGGTATCTCACCTGTCTCCTGAGCCTGCTGAGACTTTACTGCCATCTGGTGACCAGGAACAGCGCAGGAGATTCTGCAGAGAAACGTACAATATCTAACTGTTCATAATTTCATGTTTTTAATGTGTGTCTTACAAAAACACATCGTCTAATGTCTAAGTTAAACCTATTCTCCAAATACCTTTTATGAGTCATAATGTATTTTAGCTTCCAAATTATTTTTTTATCCATAACTTTGAAATTCACTAAAACTTTCATATATAATTATGTATAACTGTTCTGCATAACTCTTTTGTTTTCATGGTGGTAATAGTCTTCAATAATCATTTTATTGCACAATCTGTTTAGTTGGAAATAACATAGGCCAAACAACATGACATCTATCGGTAAATTACCTTCTCAAACGTATGCTGATTCCCAGTGAATATTTTGACACATCTTTCCTGGGGTGCGAAGGGCCTGACGTCCCACACCCTGACTGTATTGTCCATGGCGGTGGTCAGCAAGTATGACCCCTCGGGGGACAGCTCCATACCGGTCACTGTGTCCGTGTGACCACGCATCTTGTACAGGATGTCATTCTTTCTGAGATCCCACACCTAAACAAGGCCACAATTTTCCATAAATGATTAAATAACTGGATCACACCAAATAAAATATTACCAAAAGAAAAAAAAATTGATGATGTTCAATATCACGACTTCTTAACAAACTTTGTCGTAGCCTAGGCCTACTGAGATTCTTTTATTGAAAAAAAATTCTACATGTATTTTTAATCAACATTTGTAAGAACTTTGTTTTGCAGTGTGTGAATGGTGTGTGGAAGGTGTATTTGTCTCTTATTGTGTTGTAAATGTCCTGTATTAATTTCCGTGAATTAAAAAAAAAAAAAAAAAAAAACTTTAGCCCACCAGGTATCCAGAGAAAATTTAAAGCAAAAAGCAGTGCAGCTTTACAATTATTGCAGTTCCAAGAAATGCCCCATACTCCCCCAACACATATAAACACAATCTTCGTTTTTCCATACATTAAATGAAAAGAAAGTTATATTTCCAGTTGGCTTTCCCTTCAGTGAGAATGTCTAGCATTACATTAGTGTGGGGAAGTACATTATAATACACTTCAGCAGTGCTTCAATTATAATCCCAATTTCACTGCTTTATTGTTTTGTTTTTTCCCCACATTTTAAATGGTCTGATTTTTTATCTAAAAATTATGAACAAAATCAGGTAATATTTGGAAATAAATCTATACTGCAGCAATTTTTTACCTTCAGTTCATTATCTATTCCGCCAGATATGACCTGCTCTGCCGTGTCATTGAAGGTCAGTGAGGTCACCTGGTATGTGTTCTGGAATGTCTGGATGGCGTGCTTCTTCCTGCTGTCCCATAACTGAAAATATGACATTTAACTTACACAGTGCAGCTTAATTCTATCCTTACTTTTTACTCAAAACATATTTATGGTCACAAAATACCTGACAACTGAAGAAGAATCTCAATCTACACTCTCCCAAAATAATTCAGAAACACTGTTATTTTAACCAAAACTTAATGGTTAATGCACCCACTATTTGTTACTTTTTTATAAACATTGAAGATTTTTGCACTTCATTATATAATTTTTTAATTATTGAAAAACAATTTCATATTTTTCAATTTTTTTGGTCAAGTGTATATCGTTTCTACTTTCATTTTTTTTTATTGTTGCCTGTTTTATTTTGTGACGCATTAATTTTCAGAAGTGTCAGTGTGAATGTTTGACTGTTTATCATAAGTTTGTAAACTAAAACACAAGGCGAACATATTCCATTGTAAGTTATGACGTCACGAATCTTGCATGATATTCAAATAATACCTTAATAGAGCCATCATCACTGCCACTGCATATCAACTGCGGTCCTCTCCTCGCTAAGTTACAGCTGTTGACAAAAGACGTGTGTCCTTTTAACCGCTTTATCCTCCCGCCAACTTCAATATCCCATAATGCAATAGTTTTGTCGGTAGCACAGGTGACAAGTTGGCTATAAAAATAATTCAATACCATTTTAGCAAAGCCTTTTGAAAAACACATTAAAATTAGTTTGATTGTAATAATATCTTTAGTATCAGTCTCGGGGAATTTGTAATCTTTTATTGTGGTGGACACACAAATCATAATTGACGAGAAAGAAAAAAATTCTACATGGCATTATTCTCAGAATTTTTCAAAGAAACTGGTTCTGTATCCATATGATATAACCCTCCATGTAAAAATGCATTGTGCGTCTATCTGATAAAATCCCCCTTCTTTTCCTGGCATTGAGCACAATGTAGTAAGGCTGGCAATTATATGAGTATAATATATGTTAGAAACAATAGGCGAGTTAGGCTGTTAATCTGATTGCATTCAGCAAGTCTCCGTGGAGTTAGTGCTCACTCCTCTTACCTTCCATCTGTAGAAAAGTTCAGCTCCATCACTGCTCCAGAATGCCCCTTTAACACTGCAAAGTTTTCACATTCCCCATACACATTCCAAAAGTCTGCAAAAAAAAACGGACAGATGCATCTTTCGTTATTCTTAAAATAAAAATGTTTTACCCCATCAAGACTAAACAGATTAACTATTATTGATTTCAAGCCTACATACTTAACTCAAATTGACAAGTGTGTTCATTTTCTATCAGTGTATATCTAATTTCCTCATTTTCTTAACAAATTTCTGACTAACTTATATTCTCTTTTCTGAATGACTCAGCTGTCCACTTAGATCTCCCTCCCATTACAACTATCTGTCTACATAAATCAATTCAACCCTTGCTGAATGCAATTAGTTAAACAGATTAACACACCTCTTGGCATTGAGCAGAATACAGAGAAGCTTGTGATTACTTAGTATACAAATATGTTGGAAAAACAAGAGAAAGCAGGATAATCTGTTACACTGATTGCATGCAGCAAGAGTCCCCACACAGTTGGATCAATCTACATTGACCGATAGTTTCAATGGGCATTAGCCCTTAGATTTGGACTAGCCATCAATGAATAAAAAAGCAGCCTGCCTTACATATCAGTCTGTCAAATCCTGCTGAGGCCAGCATAGTCCCATCTGGGGAAAACTTTGAGGTGAAGATCTCTCCCTCGTGACCAGATAGCAGCATGATGGGTGCCAAGAGATTGGATGTTCTGGGAGGACCCTGCAAAAAAAGAGTGATCATGATGAATATCTTTGTTATTGCAGTTGTGAGCTAAATCTGCTAAACTTACATACTAGTAGATTGACAGAGAGATTTAAAAATCAATGTAAACTTATTAAATTACCACTCACCTATTTTTATCCAAGTTACACCAGTTAGTGGATTTAGAGCGAAATGAATGCACTCAAATACCCATTCGCTGGCATTTTCAATAAAAACTCGAACAGGCGTGCTAAAGGTAGACAACTCGCCCCCCCCA